TTTTCAATCTCCCAGCATACAAATATTATACAATAAAATAGTGTTAAAAGAAACAGAAGAAATATATAGAAAGAGGAAATATATAGAAAGTTATACTTTAACATCAACTTAGTATTCCCTCCACTCTGTGGCAGATTGCACTGGCTAGTGTTCGCCAACAACATGTCAACAACATCAACATCACATGAACGTAAAATGTTCCTGTTTATTACCGGGGGGCAGTTTTACGGGAAACATGAACGCACCAGTCATTGAACCCCGCCCACCGTGCAACCTAAAGCAGCCTTGAACGCGCAGAGATGAGCTAACAGTGCTAACTCCGTTTAACCAGAACCAAGATCAGTCCGGTGGTTTCTCGCGTTCGGACTGAACTAGCAGCTTTCCGGGTCACTACCTGGCGACTTTGTGTGTGAAAGCAGGAAGTCATGTCTTTGATACAGCTCAGTTCCAGCTGTTGTTTTGTTCTCCTCCTGGGTTAATGTCTGCCGCTGCTGTTGTTGTGGCCTGCTACACGTTAGCCTAGCTTAACAGGCGGTTAGACTCCGTCGGTTCCTGGAGCTCATCACATCCCGCTAACGACGAGGGGAAATGACTAACCTGGGCAGCAGATAACTTCCTACAGGGTGTCGCCATCAAGTAAGTTGAAACCAAAAACCATGTGTAAAGTGTTTAATGTTAGAGTTTCCGCTGGAGACTTCGTACTAAAAGTTATCATCTGTTAACGTTTAGTGAAAGTGCCTGCTCGTTGAACTCGTATGTTTTAGATGCCACATCTGATTTCTTAACGCGAGTCCGTGTTGATCGATAATCATTAAAGTATTGAAGAAAACGAGGTTATGATCACTTCCTTTTAGATAGACGCGAAAACTTTTGTTTGTTTTCAGGGCAACTTGTGTTTTTGGGCCAGGGATCAGTGAGTTATTCCCCAACTATGAGAGCCTCTACCCAGTGACATCACACAAACATGGAGCTGTACTGGTACATGTGAGTATGACATGTGTATTTACATTTGAAAAAAAATATGATTAATGTATATATAAAAATGTAAACATCCATCCATCCACCCATTCTTCTGTCATCCACAGAGTTGTCATCATATTCATCATCATCAAGATATTCTTCTATGTGTGCTGGTACCGATCCAGACAGAGGCAACTGGCAGCCTACCTGAGCAACCCACGCAATGCTCAGATAGTCATAGTTGGAGGAAGAGCCTACCTCCATCAGATGTGTGAGAGACAGAGTGTAAGTTGTGCACACAAACACTTAGCGTGTCTTTTTTTATTTCAATCACATGAGCTACCTTTCAACCCCTGATGTGGTTTCGTGCCTACAGGATCTATATTTATTGTGGTGGGGTATAAGTTTACAACACCTCCATTGAATTTACATATTGTGTCTCACTGTTCTATAAAATTAGAGCATAGAACACATGAATCGACAAAAAGTGATGGAATCTTTAATCAAATTCGGCAGACAGTTTCTTTCTATAATGGAAATGAAACTGTTCTGAAATATGACAGGACCATGTGATGCGCTGGTAGCTTTGAATCACTTCCACCTTCATGTGGGTGGCCTTGGCTCAGAAGGTAGATCCCCTAACCAGAAAATCTTGAGATTATGATCCCCGGCTCCTTCTGTGTGTTTGCCGAACTGTTTGGCAAGATAAGATAATAATTTGAAACCTACCGTCTGTTTTTTTTGTCATTATCTTGGTGTCGGAGGAACCCCTGCCCTGAAGGATTTGTTTATCACCATTTATGTAGGTTAACTGTAAGTTAACTACTTAAAATGCTTAAATTTCAAGACTTGAATTGTAGGCTCTAGTAAAACAAAAAGAATCCATCTAAGCTGTGAGACTTGAGTATCGTACACAGAAATAAGAGGATAGACCAAGAGTAATTCTAATAAAGCCACGGTTGTGTTAAATTTTTTTGTGGGTGAGTTGTTTGCTCTCTCGAGAGGTCATGTGATTTTCAGTCAGTCACTTTCCCTTCGAACGACAGCACAGGCTACATTTCAGTTTCACTTACATACTGAGTGAAGTTTGTTTAGAAGGTACACGCCTCTGGTCCTGTGTGTACTTGTGTGTTGACATTTTTTCAGTGAAGTTTGTTTGACCTTGTTGACACTGGAGGTCTGGTCGGGCAGGTCCCAGCTTTGACAGTTCTTCACTTAGAAAGAAGTGCAAGTGTGTGAGTTGATGTTTTTAAGCACATTCGTAACATTTTAACCATACATGAGAGATTTTTGTGTGTGTGTGCAAATATCCCTAAAGTCACAGACTGATTTACAGACAGCAGTGTTATTGTTGCTACCTCTCGTCCTTTGTAAATCAGATAGATAAAAAATAATAAGATTAACTTGCTTGACATAGTGAATAGTTATGTGGTTTGTTTGCGCTGCTCTTTAAATGTCACATGATCATTGAAATAATCGTCATAGATTTTTTTGTAGCCTCTCTTTATCTTTGAAACTCGTGCTCTTCATTTATCTTGTGTTTTGAAAACGACTTCTAAATGCAGGGTTCTCTTTTTATTGCCCCCTTGACGATAGTTTTATTTGTGTTGATGTTTTCCAAGAGCTCCTGAATAGTGGTGCCTTTCCACAACATCAGCTCTTACGGTGTCATTTCTGTGGACTACTCCACAGGTTTAAACAGTCATCATGTACGTGCTTCCTCCAAGGCCTTTCTGCTTTACTGCCTCTCCCAAACACCTGGAAGCAATCCCCATGATTCACAACCTTCCTAAAATATGCTCCGTGAATCATATAAAACAGGTTTCTCTTGCTTTCGCTTGCACACTTTGCACAGTTGCTGGAAGATCTAGCAATAGATGTTTTATACATTTCTAACTTGTTTATACATTTTTATCTAAGAGCAGATTCAGTTAAATCCAATTCTTCATCAAAATTAATTTAAGCCATTTTCTATTATCACTCTGCTTTAGTTAAATGCAAGAGGCACAGGCAAATATATTTTTAGCTTTTATTGAATATTTGTGCAACAGGAAATACCCCACTGGTTACAAAAATAAATTCACTTCAGAGTTTTTTGGCCCCTTAGATTTCCTCAAACCAGTTATGACATCCTGTTTACTATTTGACTTTCAAAAATGTCCATTCTAGGATATGATTGCCATACTTGTGTCTTATTATCTGACATATACTGGCTACATGTCCAGTGACCAGTAACATAGAAGATCTCCAACTTCCTTCTTGCACTCATCCCTTTTCTCTTGAGCATCCATCGGATCGTAATATCTTCTTGTCCAGCAACTCTTCAGTTTGCTCCTACTATCTCTCCTGCAGTCTTCTCCTTTCTTCGTCTCCCTCTTGTTCTCTCTGCTGTTTCTGGTGTATAATGTTGCCTGTTTAGATTTTAATGGAATGTGCAGCAGGGAGGCCCCACAGTCATCCATTACCCCGCACCCTGAAAGTTCTCTGGATGAATGCCAAGACGACTCGAGTCTTGGACTTAAATGAATCACACACGGTGGGGGGAAAAAGTCTTGATGTAGTATCACTCACTAAGCCTCTTGGACAGTCTTATTCACGGCTACCTGAAGAGGCAAAGTGAACCCAGAAGAATGGTGGAGGGAAAAAAAAAACTTTGATACATTCTGGCCAGAGATAGAGATGGGAGAGATTGATAGTTTTTGGATTATAAGGCCTCGTTTTATTGGTTTCTGTCTTTTTTAATCCTAAAGATGTTTGTGGTTTTTAATGTGACGTTCTGTCTGTGCTGCATCTTTCCCCATCACTGCAGAAACAACAGGTTGGCAATTTTAAAGTAATTAAGATAT